CTGTCTTAGACTTGTTTGTCGCTGTTTCCTTGACCATCCCTCCTAGAATACGTAGCTTTTGCCGGCGAACAGTTCACTATACCACTATATTCGCCGGCAAAATCTTCGTATACTAAGAGGGAAATAAACTCTGTCTTAGACTTGTTTGTCGCTGTTTCCTTGACAATCCCTCCTAGTATGCGTAGATTTTGCCGTCCGGGAACTTTGAAAACCTTTGTCATTAAAGAAGGTATGTTATTAAATCACTATGCATGATAGAAGTTGAATTATTATTGTTGAATAAAAATAATTGTGGTTGAAGTTGAACAAATATTGTTGAATGAAAATGATTTTGGTAGAAGCTGAATAATTATTTTTGTTGATTGAAAATCATTTGGGTTGAAGTTGAACAAATATTTTTGTTGAATGAAAAGAATTTTGGTTGAAGTTGAAAGAAAATGCGTATTGTTGGATATAAATATAAAATGTTGAATATAAATATATGTTGTTGAACATAAAATTAAATATAAGTTGTTGAATATGAAGGTGCAAGTTGTTGAATTTTGCAACATTTGGCTAACCATACGCGTTCAACCTATCTCATAAAAAAAGGTCGCAAAAATTACTTTCTCAAAAAACTTTGTCTTCTTAGAAACTAAAATTATTTTTTCTCTTAATCTGAAAAAAAAAAAAAAAAAATAGATTCTAGCAAAAATAAATTTTACATTCTCGTTCAAGAATGTCACTAACCTATTGGTCAGCACGGCAATCGCAGGATATTTAAGCATGCTCAGAATACTCCTTTCCCATTCTCAGCCAATCAAAGTGGCCGCCTCAAAACAGAAGACACGATCTATAATTATAAAGGTAAGATTATTGTCTTTTATTCATATTCTAAACGGATATGACGGCTCCCTGTGTACTGCCGTGAATCATATATCAACGTTCCTGTGACCATATGACGCCAAAACTAGAAACGCAGTAGCAATGTCAATAGGCTATATTCGTATTCTCGGTATTGGACTGGAACTAGCTTGTTGCGAGGCGTCCTTTCAAATACAAATGGAATTAATCTCTAATACCGAGAATAAGAATTTGGCCAATTATCTGGTGCAAGTGCACATGTTAAAATGCGTACTGCGTAATTCAGTTCCATTAGCGAGTAAGTACATAATTTAATTCCGTTATTTACAGTGCGTAAGTACATAATTTAAATAATTCCGTAGAATTATACACGTTATATTTTGCATCATTGATAAGTTACTGCGCAAGTGCGTACAAAGTACATAAATTAGTACAGTCACGATAGTTTCTGTCAAATTTATCTATAGTATGACGAAATTAGATCTCAACAAATCCAAGATTATCTTGAACAAACATATGGTTTGTTTTTCAGGATTTACTGCGATGGTGTATTTACTCCACATTGGCTGCTGCTTCCAGAAGAAGTGACCTTGCTGGTTGCATTTAGCTCCAATGCTAGTACGCCGACGAATGATTCGACACACCACTATCCTCCCAGTTTATCCAGCGCATCTGTGAATTCCAGCAAATCGAACAAGCTCCCAAGTTTGAACTCTGTTCTTACTGACGTGTAGAAGAAATCCGGACTTGTCTGCAATGGAAAAAATATAACAAAAATTCCTCACCTTCTGCCATAATCACAGCCAGTGATCAAGATCCAATTTCTTATCAAAATGTTAATATATAGGGAGAGAAGTAGGTAGTGTAATGAGAACCGCATGACTTATCATCAAAGGGATAAATGCCTACAAACAGGATATAGGTAGATTCTCCAAACTATAACTTATAGAAATGACTGAGGAAACATGAGGAGAAATTGTGTGCTAATATCACAGTTAAATGCAAGGTTAGCCGTTTCTAAAGAGCGCAGGTGGCTGATCTGAGCTGGTGCTTATCGTAAGCCCCTGGCTCGGGAGATTGGGCGACCACTCCCTACGTCTACGACTCTGAATAAAGTTAGTTTACGTCACCTTACCTTAAGCATAAGGAGTATTCCTACTCCTTGTACATCTCAGATGTTAGTCCGTCGTAGATTACTTGGCCTCCCCTCCTCTCCCCCCTTCCAGTATTTTGTCAGGTTTTCTCAGTAATTAAACGGTATTGAGTGACATTCCTGAGTGGAGAGAGGTACTGTAAGAGTACCGTGTCTTGCCCCAAAACACAANAAAAATATAATAAAAATTCCTCACCTTGCCATAATCACAGCTAGTGATCGAGATCCAATTTCTTATCAAAATGTTAATATATAGGGAGAGAAGCAGGTTGTGTAATGAGAACCGCGTGACTTATCATCAAAGGGAAAAATGCCTACATGCAGAATATAGGTAGATTCTCCAAAATATAACTTGTAGAAATGACTGGGAAAACATGAGGAGAAATTGTGTGCTGATATCACAGCTAAATGCAAGGTTAGCCGTTCCTGAAGAGCGCAGGTGGCTGATCTGAGCTGGTGCTTATCATGAGCACCTGGCTCGGGAGATTGGGCGACCACTCCCTACGTCTACAACTCTGAATAAAGTTACTTTACCTTACCTTACCTCAAGCATAAGGAGTATTTCTACTCCCTGTACATCTCAGAGGCTAGTCCTTTGTAGATTACCTGACCTCCCCTCCCCTCCCCTCGCCCCTTCCAGTATTTTGTCAGGTCTTCTTAGTAATTAAGCGGTACTGAGTGACATTCCTGAGTGGAGAGAGGACCTGTAAGAGTACCATGTCTTGCCCCAAAACACAACACACTGACGAACAGTGACCTTGGCCAAGGCTCAAATCCAAAGTCCAAAACCCTATCCATTTAGGCCACCGAGTCTGTGTTATGTATACTGAAAAAGCTTCACTAAGGAATTTTGAACCTATACACCACTGACTAATTTTAACGTGAAGGCATTCTACCCGAGCAAATATATATATATAGTAGTGTATATGTACAACCGACTGTTTCCTGATCGTCAATTAAAAACATTGCTTGTCTCGCACAGACGTCGCTGTTTGATGACCATTTCAAAGGGGACGTTTAAAAGAGATTGGTTTTCTCCAGACATTTTATACCAGTCAATAGCAATATAGCGCTTACTTCTTTTCTTAGATCTTGCATCCGCAACAACATCGGACCATCTAACCGTTGCACAGCTTTAGTATCTAACCTGAAAACAATGTTATGGAGTTTACTGGAAAATATTTCAATTTTGACATAACCTTACGCTAGTTATCAGGGTGTAACCGGCAGAAATGACAGGGTTTTAACCGTACAACACAGTGGTAGGCTAACATGGTATGTTTTAAATTTCATAATTCTGTTGAGGGGATAATCGACGTTAATCAAGGAAAACGGTACGTGTGTTTTATCAAAAGCATCAACCATAAGAAGCGCTCCTTTACTTTCTGTTTTCGGAGACTGTGCATTCATAACCTCTTTCACATCTCCTCCTTCAATTACTGACCTATCTTCCAATCCCACTTCCTTGAGCCAATTTTTTACATCACTGTGGGTCCATGATTTGATGGAGGACTGGGGCGAAGCATCAACAACATTCTCAACCGCGGCTACAATTGAACGAAAGAGCAAGAATCACGAGTGGGCTGGTGCCGAATTATTTAGTCTTGGGGAGTGGTGGGGGTGGGGGGACTCAAGAATTAGCACCACATTTATGTCAAATACGTGTTGCTGAGCAGAAAGCGGTAAACAAACTTTTTTTGATCTAGGGATACTTTCTGCCATCAGAAAACATGCTATTGTTTTCGTTGGGAATAATCAAAACTCAGCACAATGATAATTTTTCACGTAAACGCTGGCAATTTTCAGACAATTATAGGTAAGATCATTATGTAAAGAAAAACTTCCCTTGATATGATAGTAAGATTTTGTTAGAAACCACCTTTCAGCGACTGATTTAGCTTGGCAAAAACGTCTAGAAAATTGCTGCGTATCTCTCTAGTCTGCTCAGAAAATGTCATCAGGTTTAAATACCTTGAACAATAGTTTCCTGGACTGTGGTTTTCCCTCTGTCTCCTAGTTCCCTCACGAGCTTGTCCGCGTTCATGTCCAGTTTATGTTTTTCGCTGAAGTCAATCCAGAATTTGGAGCCCACTATAAAGCCAAGCCATCCGTCAGGTCTGTATTTATTTTCCATCATCAACGGAATGATGTCTTTATGCAGCTGGAATGTGTACTCTGCTTCTAAATTCATTAAAAGATACACGTAAAAAANTGTCTCGCACAGACGTCGCTGTTTGATGACCATTTCAAAGGGGACGTTTAAAAGAGATTGGTATTCTCCAGACACGTTATACCAGTCAACAGCAATATAGCGCTTACTTCTTTTCTTAGATCTTGCAGCCGCAACAACATCGGACCATCTAACCGTTGCACAGCTTTAGCATCTAACCTGAAAACAATGTTATGGAGTTAACTGGAAAATATTTCAATTTTGACATAACCTTACGCTAGTTATCAGGGTGTAACCGGCAGAAATGACAGGCTTTTAACACAGTGGTAGGCTAACATGGTATGTGTTAAATTTCATAATTCTGTTGAGGGGATAATCGACGATGGCCCGTTAATCAAGGAAAACGGTACGTGTGTTTTATAAAAAGCATCAACCATAAGAACCGCTCCTTTACTCTCTGTTTTCAGAGACTGTGCATTCATAACCTCTTTCAAGGACATCTCGTCCTTTAGTTACTGACCTATCTTCCAATCCCACTTCCTTGAGCCAACTTTTTACATCACTGTGGGTCCAGGATCTTATAGAGGACTGGGGTGAAGCATCAACAACATTCTCAACCGCGGCTGCAATTGAACGAAAGACCAAGAATTACGAGTGGATTGGTGACGAATTATTTAGTCTTGGGGAGTGGTGGGGGTGGGGGGAATCACTAGAATGAACAACACATTAGTGTCGTATACGTGTTGCTGAGCAGAAAGCGGTAATCAATATATATATATATATATATATTTTTTTTTTCCATGTAGGGATAATTTCTGCCATCAGAAAACATGTTATTGTTCTCGTTGGGATCTCGTTGGGAATAACAAAAACTCAGCACAATTATAATTTTTCATGTAAACGTTGGCAATTTTCAGACAATTATAGGTAAGAACATTAGGAAAAGAAAAACTTGTTTGATATGTTAGTGAGATTCTGTTAGTAACCACCTTTCGGCGACTGATTTAGCTTGACAAAAACGTCTAGAAAATTGCCGCGGATCTCTCTAGTCTGCTCAGAAAATGTCATCAGGTTTAAATACCTTGAACAATAGTTTCCTGGACTGTGGTTTTCCCTCTGTCTCCTAGTTCCCTCACGAGCTTGTCCGCGTTCATGTCCAGTTTATGTTTTTCGCTGAAGTCAATCCAGAATTTGGAGCCCACTATAAAGCCAAGCCATCCGTCAGGTCTGTATTTATTTTCCATCATCAACGGAATGATGTCTTTATGCAGCTGGAATGTGTACTCTGCTTCTAAATTCATTAAAAGATACACGTAAAAAACGTAATTTCGTTAAAATACATGTGGCTCACTGCTAGAAAGAAATGAGGAAATAAAATGTCATTGGACGCCACAGACAGACGTTGCATGTTGATTGGCTAATACTGAATGTCACGTTTAATCCGGTTGGGATGTTTTCCCGCCAAAATTGAACCAGCCGCGACCATGTTCACACTGATTGGATGATTTAAAGGGAAGTTGCAACTTGATTGTTCAAAGTAACGTTACTGTTCAACGTTTGTTTAGTGGAGGGAGTTTTTGTTTGTTTGTTTTGTTTTGTTTGTTGTTTGTGTTTTGTTTTGGTATTTTTGTTTTTTTTTGCTTTTATGCTTTCTGGAAGTAGAATCGACGTTTGTGATTTCTTTTAAGTACTACTATCGTTTTCATCACGATAAATCATTTAATTTATGGCATACACTTATTAAATGTTATACAATGTACCTGACCGGCAGTTGGGGCTCTCTTTGTATTTCTGAGACACACAGACCAACACGACGCTGGCATTTTCCACAGCCTTGGCCATGCTCTCCAGTGTAGAGCCGCCCATCTCATCAATGTCCATCCAAACCTTGTAGCCGTCCGCCTGTAGCTTGTTTTTTAACTGAATCACAAGTGTTTGAACATCCCACTGGTAACTTATCATTACGTGTTTGGTGTCTGAAAGAAAATGAAAATACTTGTGACCAAGGTTAAGCAGGCAGCATTATATTGATAACATTGGTAACGCCTGCTAGGAAGGTGTGTCATTTAAAAGACCTTCAATGACAATGGCAAGTTCATGCAAACCTAAGAAAAATAACTTTTTCTGGTCTTTGAGCTCAAGATCACACACGACTAGGTAATACTGTACTGTAACAAAGAGCTTACTTTATGCAAACAAACCATTTTTCAGAGCACTATAGCGCCAGGATTATATTAAACAATTACATTATGAGCTCGAGATTTCTATCGCGTGATAGAAATCGAGAGCGAATAATCTAATTGTTTTAGTATAAAATAAATCTACCAGTCGTTCAAAACGTAGTCTAAATCCTCTTCACAGACACTTCGAAAACGCCAAGAAGCGGCCGTCATTTTGTTAACAAGGGCACACTGCTACGCTACTCATTCGTGATAGAATGCTAGTAGATTTATACTAATATGGAATAAACCTACTAACTCTTCTACCTAACCGAAGTGTTTTATTCTGTTTTGTATTTAACCGTATTACAGGTTGTTTACTTTTTATGTAACGTCACAAGGTGCCCTATATGGAACACTGAGGCTCTAGTGTCACTCTCCCAGGCATGCGCACCTGTCGCTAGCTGCAGTCTGTCTGAGTGTTGTTTCTCCTCTGCATGTTTCTCTTTGCCTTCACATTCCCACAATGCACCAGCGGCAGCTCGCTTTATTTGGCTGTTCTCTGACGTCAGGAGTTTTTTCAGCTCAAAAATAGCATAGTCATCGTTGTTTATTTCTTTTTTGTTATCCCCATCAAACGCCAAGGTCCACAAAGTGTTGCACGCACTCAGTTTCTCCTCATCTCCTTTAGCATTTTGCAGCATTTTGACAAGGATTGGAATGGCTCCACACTGAGCAATCTGAAATACAACAACACGATTTGTACATGTGTACATGCAATTCCCAATTAGATACTAAACTTTCAACTGACCTCAGTAGCAGAGGAGTTGGTGTTTCTGTTGTTTCATTCTTCTTCGTATTTTTTGTTTGTTTTTTGTTTTGTTTTGCTTTGTTCTGTTTTTTAATCTGGGATATGGCTTTTGCCAGTACATGTGGCCTACATGTACATTAGTATTTCTCCAAAAATTCGCACAAACATAACCACCACACTTATTTTTAGTTAAACCAGAGAGAGCCAGGTTTCCAACAAGTCCAGGACAGCTGTCCAGGAGGCGAATCTTTAATTCAGTTGTACATGTACTGTATTCAGTGTATGGCATTTATGGCTAAAACTGTAGTATCAATACGTTCGAAAGTTACTGCAAATTACACAAGTTCAACATTACCGTTTTCTTGTTGTTATCATTGACTGCGATTTGCGTCAGTCCTTCAGCAAGTTCCGAAGCAGACAGGCCTAAATATCTGTGAGTGGATGATCCAATGGCTTTTTTCAGAATGCTTGTAAGAAACTTGATTGGTTCTGAAATTTAATAATACATAAAGTAGCGTGAATTGATAATCTGCTGGTTTCATGACTTTTAAAATCATTTTCGTTTAGCACACATGTACACTGTATTATAAACAACATGCATTCCAACCGGCAAGATTCGAAAAGTTGGCTATTTGAAAGTGTGGCTGGCTTATTCATTTTAAGCTAACCACTGATGTACAAGAAATTACAAAATGTCACCAAAAGACTATTGGTACATCTACAATAAGGCCCCGTCCAACTTCGTTCCCAGGACCTCTGGGAACGAGGTTGGGCCCGCTCCACACTACACTGGAGAAATTTGAAAACGCAGCTTTATTTCTACGGTTAGGCCTACCGTCCACACTAATACGTCACGAAAACGGCGCTTTAAGAAAATGCTCTAAAAACCGGTGGAATTTGAAAAGGCTGGCTTTTCGTACGGAAAACATTTTGAACGGAGCTTTTCCAAAACGATGTCGTCACGATGATCACGTGATTTCCCTGACCGAGGTTTCCTCAAACACAGATCTAAAATGACCGGTGATTGTTGCGTTTCAAATTCTTCCGGCGTAGTGTGGAAGGATTGTATGTACATATCAACAGAACAAACTTTGTACTTTACAGTAAGGGGAGAAAGAACCACATTCAAAATGAAACATTAATTGCCCATTGAACTTTACCTTCATCTGCCATGATCAGATGATTGTTCTCTTCATCGATCAAGCAGGCTAACACAAGCAAGCTCTTAGCACTGAAAAATGCAACTTCAGCTTTGAGAAGAGGTACAAGCACATTTACCGCCTCAGAAGCAGCGAAGTTTGTCCTTATCGGCACACGTTTCGATAAGTTATGAAGATTCCCCAGGGTCCTAGAGAGCATTTTGCCACGTGATGTGTACTTGGAGAGATACTGTGTTTTTGGATTCTGTTTGATTAAAAAACAATTGATTAAGATTAAGTTACAATACAACATTACATACTGCACATAACTTATGTCTTGTTAACATTACCACTACCAAGACATTAGACTCAAGTTTTGGAATGGTAGCCATGAGAGAGAGTTTTCATGTACCTTAAAAATATGGTAGTTACATGTAGCTTAGGGCATTCAAACCTACACTGTAACAACACCTTGCTGATACGAACGATCACTTAATATGTACATTTCGAAAAGATCTACAAGTAAATGTCGTACATCTAGCTGTGTTTCTAATAATTAGAAATCTTCTAAGTTTTCAAGTCTTTTTAGATCTGAGCAAATGAAAGTGATATTGAGTATATTTGTAAGGAAGTAATGTAATGTAACGTATTGTGATGAGTTATAAAGTCATATACAGTAAGTGCTGTTTTTAAATAATTTACTGTAGCTAATTGTAAATAGATAATGTATCATAACGAATTGTGTAATATGAACTAGTATGTGTATTGCACTGTAAGTAGATTTGCGAACTGGGTAGTAACAAGTATTGTATTGTAAGTAAGTAAAATGTAACATATATGCTGTGTAAAAAAAGTAGACTATTATTATTAATTGAATTTTCACACTTTAGATAAAGAACAAAATATAGAAACAAGCCTTTGTTCAAACATTAGATGTTGATTGGATTCACCACTGGGTTGATGAGCCAGACACTGGTGACGATTTCTAGACAATTTGACGGGTTTTATATCTCGTTTTACCGTTTGAGCAAGTCATTGTCTGCAGCTGTTGAACGTTAGTCTCGCACTGAATTGTTTCCTAAGCTTTGAATTCTCTTTCCCAGTTTCAACCATGATCTCCTAATTTTGACAAAACCAAAACTGCAACTTTCCAAACCTTTTCAAGTACAATGGCAGTACCTTCGTTGTGTTAGGTACCACTTTATTCCTCTGATCGTTTTAACATCCCAACCCTCTTGCAAATTCTATTTTAACTTGAGCTCAAATTGTGCTGTTCTAGAAAATATCCGTACTCTCCCCCCCCNGAAGTTCCAGAAAATATCCATACTCCCCCCACAGAAGGGATTGGAATTTCCTGGGGGGTAGGGGTTCTCTAAGACCAACAATTTTAAAGAAATGTGTGAAGCTTAATTGGAATTTCCAGAGGGGTGGAGGATGGGGGGATCCTAAAAAAAATTCCTTTCTTGGGGGAGGTATGGGTGTTTTCTGGAACTACACATTTTCCTTTAAAAACTTTGGGTTTTAGAAACCTAGGGCTCCATGTTGAAATTCCCAGTGACCTCCCAGGTTGCTATTTGAAGCCACACATTGATACCTACCACAAATTTCACATGGTATGGAACTGAATCTTGGAGATCTTTAGTCATATCAACAAAGAGCTGTACTATTCCAACTTCACTGCACGCCAAACAGAACTCATCATGAAGGTCCGAAAAATTTAGCAGTGCAGCTAACAGGTGATTAATAAGATCCTGTGACATTTTCAATGTATTTATCTTCTCTTCATCATCTTCAGACTGCTACAAAAATAAGGTTGGAAAATCAACACTTTTTAACTAACAATAACTACAGAAATTCTTGCACACTCATTGGCTAATTTTCATTGTCAATAAACAGATAGACAAATGTCTGAATTTATAATCTATGCAATGTTGTGGATACAATTTAATACATTTAACAAATTGGCATCAATCAGTTTTTCATGCATCTGTCCTGGTACTGACAATGGATTTCGTCACAACATTGTCAAAGTAGCTGCAGGTTCCCTCAGCTATTGCCTCAAGGATCCACAGCTACTTTGACAATGTTTTCAAGAAATTCATGATCAATAACGGGATGACGCATGAAAAACTGACGTCAATTTGTAAAACATAACACAAAAAATACACCACGTACTGTATGAATATTGCAAGATATTGGATTGTGTTGAACAGATCATCAAAGATAATCAACTCATTGAAAGCAATAAATTGTATCCAATGATGGAAATAACGAAATGATATTACACAAAAAAGCGCGTGTGTTGAGATTCAGTGTATGTATTTAGCTCAAGCCTAAATAAGCAAATATGGAGATGGTAAATGTAGGTACCAGAAAATTACCCATCATCATTCATGGTGTAATATAAGCTTGTGTGTACCTGATTCTCAGGACTCACAGGGTTGTCATCATTCCCTTCCTGCTGAATTCTTTCCTGTACCTGTCCTCCCTCACAGGATGGCCTATCCTGTATATTCATTTCTTGGTTCTGTAATGAGAGTCAGGCCATACATTATAAAGGTTTAAGGTCTGCATATGGCTGGTTTGCAGTGTCACTCCATCAAAAATAAAAATCATAACCATTCATTCAATAAATTAAGTCAAGAGGCTGGGATATGATATCGATAGAGGATTGATATTAACAACCTCACCAAGATCTAGGTCTGTGTGGTTATTCATTCGCGTGTAATTCAGAACAGTGTCTAACTTTAGAGAGCTTTGTATGGAGATGCCATGTTGGTTCCCTTCAGAGAAGCACCATCATGGTGGCCATAAAGTAACAGAAACATCTGTCATTGAGTTTTGCCATCAAAACAAAAAGTTATTACTCTAGAGCTCCGACACATTGAAATTAATACTTCTTCAGTC